GGGGGGAGATGCAAGGAGGGGGGGGGAGAGAATGTTTAGTTTTTTTGTCTTTTTCTCTATGCATCAACGGTTGACATCACGCCGGAAAAAAACGGTCGCTGCAATCAATGGAGCATATCTCTAATATGTCTATCTGCGGTGGGGACCGACCTGCGAAGGTTTTACTCTCAAGTTTTATTGGGGTATAATAACAATTAAGAGAGGTTGCTGTGGATGTATTTGGCTGCAATGACTTCCAAATTTAGACTTTGAAGCTCTATTACCCTTGCAAACACGGTTGGAATCGAACATAAAGCTGAACTCGTCCTCCGTGTGCGTTTTCCTTCGCTACATTGATTTATTTTTTCTCTACAAATTTCGACAATCGCCATAGCCACCATAGCCACCATAGCCACCAGCATCGCCAACGCTGTCCATCGAATACAGTTCTTCCAGGTGTCATCGCTATCCCCGTCACCGTCTGGCATCACCATCGCCGACTGAGCTCCATTTACTAGAAGTCTTCCACGTGTGCATCGCCATCGCCATCGCCATCGCCAACCAAACTCCATCCAGCATCCTTGTGCGCATCGTCATCGCCATCGCCATCGCCATCGCCATCGTCATCACCATCACCATCGCCATCGTCATCATCATCGCCATCGCCATGGCTGATTTATTATCTACAACAATACCTCTCTTCCACGAGTACAGCCCCATGCTATCGTTAGTTGCAGTCCATCTAGTATTCTGATTCTTCCACGTGTACATCGCCATCGCGATCGCCTTGGCCAGAAGCATCGTCATCATCATCGGATCTCGCTGAGGTTCTCCTACTTCGTCTTGCACATCCTTCATCCTCTTCCGCCGCCCCGCCGCATTCGCCATAACCGTCGTCCGATGTCGGCAACGCTGGTCCATCGTAAATATCCTTGAATCCCTCCGTCTTCTTCTTCTTCTTTGACGGATCCTGCCACCCTTTGCCTCGCTCGTCGTGCGAATTTGAATCGCCATCGCCATCGCCATCGACTTCTCCATCCGGCATCGCCATCCACCCATCGCCGTCGCCATCGCCATCGCGCAGCTTCGTTACCTGGTCTCTGTCTTCTTGTTCTTCGTCTTCTTCCTATTTCGTTTTCGCCATTGCCATCGCGGTCGTCTGGATCTCTACCACCATCGCCATCGCCGTCGCCATCGCGCAGCTTTGTTACCTGCTCTGTCTTCTTGTTCTTCGTCTTCTTCCTCTCTCGCTATCGCCATTGCCATCGCGGCCGTCTGGATCTCTACCACCATCGCCATCGCCATCGCCATCGCTCCGCGACTAGCGCGGAGGTGAGAGGGCTGGTGCTGACAGTGTGTACAGCGCGCCGCGGCCGTCGGGATCGGTACCGCAGAACGCGGTTCCTGACGGCCTTTGACGCCGTTCGCCGCCGATGAACGAGTCCTCGTTCCGGCCTGCGCGCTGTTCGTTGGCCAATCAAGGAGCAATCTGCGTGATTGGATGCTCTGATCATTTGATTGGATTGATTAGGTGCTCTGCTGATTGATTGGATGCCCTGATGATTGATTGGATGCCCTGATGATTGATTGGATGATAGGGATTCGGACTCGAGCAAGGTATGTGGCCGCGGAGCTGATCTGATTGGATGCTCTGTTTGATTTTTGGGTGCCTGCCAGCGCATTGAGCGACGATCTCAGCAAGGTATGTGGCCCCAAGGGCCAAGGAAGAGGTTTCTTTGCCTCTCTCTCAGTCATCAGCTAGTAGGAGTAGAATTTTGCGCCCCCCCTGTTAAAAACCGGGGGAAAAGAGAGGAAGGGGAAGGGGGGGGGAGGAGGAGGAGTTGGGCCGGTCGGTAGCGTCGCGAGTTGCGAGTTAGACTGACATCGATGCTATTGCGGGTTCCGTAAAAGGTAAAAAAAAAAGGGGGGGGGAGAAAAGAAAAAGAAAAGAAAAAAAGGACACAAGGAGGTCCTTCGGGACATCCGTTAAAATTGGAACGATACAGAGAAAGAAGATTAGCATGGCCCCTGCGCAAGGATGACACGCAGAAAAAGGAACAAGGAGAGACAAAGTGCAAGGAAGAACACGAGCAAGCCGCTGAAGGAGAAAGTGGAGAGAGAGAGGAAGATCCAAAAATAGAAACAAGACAAAAAAAGAAGATAGAGAAATAGAAAACACGACAAAAGGAAAGGACAAAAATAGACACAAGGCAAAACGAAGGGACAAAAACAGAAGCAAGACAAAAGAAGACAGAAAAAAAAGAAAAAGAAAGAAAACAGTGGCCAACTGCCTTTCGTACACGCATCGAAAGCGCTCTTCATTACAAAGCCGCGCATACTCGTCGTCTCAGCTCTCTCGCGCACAATCCCGGATGCGTTTCGATCGGTTGCGCTCCGCTCCGATCATCCTCAGGGGGCTTTCCACATAACCCTCGCCTTGCGGCACCGCCGTCTATCCTCCCGTCTTACTACTGAGTAAGCAAAACGAATCCAGGAAGACGACAAAAAGACGACAGGAAGACGACAAAACGACGACAGGAAGACGACAAAAAGACGACAGGAAGACGACAAAACGAAGACAGGAAGACGACAAAACGAAGACAGGAAGACGACAAAAAGAAGACAGGAAGACGACAAAAAGAAGACAGGAAGAGAGAACAAGAAGTCAGGAAGACGACAAAAAGAAGACACGAAGAAATAGATAGAAAAAAAGACAGGAAAACGACAAAAAGAGGACAGGAAGAATAGTGGAAACAGTGGCCAACTGCCTTTCGTACACGCTTTGAGAATCTTCATTACATAACCGCGCATACTAATCTCAGCTCAACGCGCAAGAAGACAAAAAGAAGAGTGAAAGAAGAGAGGAAGTAGAGGATAGAAAGACGCCAAGAGAGAAGAAGACAAGGAGAAGAAGACAAGGACCAGAAGAAGGCGGAAGGGTAACAAAGTTTTTTTTTTTTTTTTTTTTTTTTTTTTTGGAGGAATCAGTCTTTCGTTAAAATCTCATAAACCTGAGGCCGGGAATCCTCAGTAAAAGAAAGTTCAGTGCAATGCATGTAATACGGTTTGACGATATATATATATATATTTTTTGTTATATATTTAATTGGACGTCGTGTAAGCACTGTACTGATCTGCTCATCTGCTTGTCGTAAGGCGTTTTTTTTTTTTTTTTTTTTTTTTTTTAATTGTTCAGAACAGATATTTCTCCGACTACACACGGGATGGGTTAGTATTTTCGAGCCTAGACACGTGGCAATCAACACGCGCTCACAACCTAACGTCCCGGCTGGTGGTGTTTTTTTTTGGTTGCGTCAACAAATACGGGCTGGGTTGTATTCGAATTGATCTCCTCTAAAATCTGCGGTGTCAGAGGGTCCAGTGACGGCATTGCCCTTTTTTTTCTTTTTTTTTTTTGCCATTCTGTTGTTGAAAAACGTGTTTAATAATAGGTCTGTGTAATATATTCTGTTAGTTATTATTGTATTGATATTCATTGCGACTATACATAATACATATACATAATGGATTATTATTTATTATTTTAATAGCTTTTTTTTTTCTTTTTTTTTTTTAACTCAGTTCGTGCTTGTAGACTTGACTATTGGAATTTTTTTTTCCCTTTTTTTCTCTTTTGTCGTCTTCTGAAGAACGACCGTCAATACGCGGAGAGAAATCATACCCATTCGGGATATAGATAGACTATTATTCCAAATTAGGAAAGAAATTGTGCTATTACAAATAGAGTAGTCGACATGTTCAAGGGTGACCACAGGGTTTATTTTACGTATTTATCGCCATCTATAATAGGTATAATATAATGTATGTGTTTATACATGCATACAAACTATCGTCATGTATAATAGGCGCAATATAATATAAAATAATATATGTGTATATATGTGTTTATATACATATACATGCATACAAATTATCGTCATGTATAATAGGCGCAATATAATATAAAATAATATATGTGTATATATGTGTTTATATACNTGTTTATATACATATACATGCATACAAATTATCGTCATGTATAATAGGCGCAATATAATATAAAATAATATATGTGTATATATGTGTTTATATACGTATACATACATACAAATTGTGTGAAAATTCAGTATATATAATATCAAAAAATCATTTTCATTTTGATTCGTCACCTGGCGATGCCCGGCTAGCAATTGGTCGAAGCGCGCGTCGGGATCTGTGCGCGCTCTTACTCTCTGTGGACACGTTGTTGTATGGATGCATCCTTGTTCTTCTTTGGATAAGGAGTTCGTGCCATATAGCCAGTGTGTTGAACATCACTTTTTTTTTTTTTTTTTTTTTTTTTTTTTTTTAGATCATCATGAGAAGGGCACAATTCACCTTAGCAGCCATTGCTTATTTTTTCTTTCTAGTCTGTCTGTTCCTGGCATACGATATGATTAGTACACGCCGCTACTATAGATTTCAGGTTGTTTCTTACATTGTACTCTACTCTCTATATGCGTGTGCACAGAGCAATTGGCCATAATTGCTTGTCCTGCTTCTTTTTTTCTTTTCTTTTCTTTTTTTTTTTCATTTTTAACAAGGATCCCGTAGAAAATGCATCTTTGATGCCTTGCTCTTGTTCGTCTGCGGAATCTGACTGACCGCTGCATTTTGTTTCCAGTCTGTTCCTGCAAAAAGAAAAAAAAAAAGAGAAAATTATAAAAAAACAAGCTCGTGATTTTGATCGGTGGAAGCTCTCCTGGCGGCGCGAAACACTTTCGACTTTTTTTTTTTTTTTTGATAAAAATTTGGACCATTTCTCGATTTATGCGTGTCATCTTTGGAAGCGCAGGGGCCATCTGCTAATCTTCTGTCGCGAAGGACACTTTCGACTTTTTACTTGGTCGCTGCATCCTCTTCTCATCGACTGGGCTGTAGATTCTTGTCTGTTGGGACCTGATCGAGCCGCAGCCAGACGGAATCGAACCCGTGACCTTGGACATAAATGGGCTGGCTGGGTGTTAAGAAGTGTTGTAGATAGTTTTTTTTGGTAGGCCCTGTTTTTTATTGGGCCCTGATCGATTTTTTATTGGGCCCTGATCGATTTTTTATTGAGCCTTGATCAATCCGCAGCCAGACGGAATCGAGCCCGTGACCTTGGCCATAACAGCGGGATGGGCTGGGTGCGCAGAGCAGAGTACTGTTATCATTACATTTCCTGACCGTGTTCGACGCTGAGCGGAATCGAAATCGAAGCGGCGCTCTGTCCGGACGAGTAGATCTTCTGTATCTCGAGCTGTATAGATATTTATGTGAATATACATAGATATTTTTATATAGATGTACATATATTTTATTATATTTATAGATAGATATCGCTCCGTTTCTGCACACATATCGTTTTGATTTTTTTAATCCTTATCGTTTGCATGATGTTTGTACAAGCCCATACATCCGTATTCCCTTTATAAATAAAGAAAAGAGAGCACAGGTGAATACCCGCAACATCCTCTCTCTCTCTCTCTCTCTCGCACAAACACACACACGCAGACTTGGACACATACGCAGACACACAAACATCTTTCTCTCTGTCTCTGTCAGTGTGTCTCTGTCTCTCTCTCTCTCTCTCTCTCTCTCTCTCTCTCACAAACACACGAAGACTTGGACACATACGCAGACACACAAAACTCTCTCTCTCTCTCTCTCTCTCTCTCTCTCTCTCTCTCTCTCTCTCGCACAAACACACGCAGACTTGGACACATACGCAGACACACAAACATCTTTCTCTCTGTCTCTGTCTCTGTCTGTCTGTCTGTCTGTCTGTCTGTCTCTCTCTCTCTCTCTCTCGCACAAACACACGAAGACTTGGACACATACGCAGACACACAAACATCTCTCTCTCTCTCTCTCTCTCTCTCTCTCTCTCTCTCTCTCTCTCTCTCTCTCTCTCTCTCTCTCTCTCTCTCTCT